TAGACTTCCATTTAGTTGTAAGTCACAACAGCAAACTTACTGGTAAGTGGAAGTCTAAGGCTTGCGCGCAAGTATTCCCGCTTTGAATTCGCGTGTCAATACTCAGAACAACGACCGTGGGAATCATGCGAGTGGAGTATTTCTCAGGAGGAAGACGTTCTGTTTGCAAAGTTGCTTCGATCTGCAAGGAGTATTCCAGCAACGACTACACCTGCTACGGAAAGCGATCCTATCGGGACTTACTGACGGTATGGTTTCCTTGTTTTATGTCACTCGTATCGGTACTTTTCGTACTGCACGGACTGCACTTGTATGATACCTGTGACACAAACATCACAATCGCACGGTGTCGGCTTGGAGTTGGTCTTGGAGTCTTCATGGTCCAGCAACGCGGCATCGCCGAGTTGGAGAAAGAAAGCAATGAATGTACATGAACATTGTTCCAAAACAAAGACACAGGGCAAAGCGTTGCAGGAGGCAGATCATTCTGATCCCGTCCGCGCAGTCGCGCACCAAATAAACTCGAAGGCAGTCCAAGTACATGTACTTTCCGACACAGCGCGATCGCGCGAGCGACTCGCGCCGGGCCGTCAGTGCAGTCTTCAAAATGTTCCTTGGCAGCCATCTCTTCTCCGATTTCGATGATCGAGGGCTCATTTTCTTTATTAGAATCTCCTCCGTAAATCTACCGAATCAATTTTTTCCTCAACGACATAGATTTACTGTCAGAATACTGGAAAGCAGGGCGACAACGCTCAGAAAAAGCCCTACACACGGATTTCCCTTCTACTTGACCGATTTCAAAATTTCTTTCGATAGATGTCCGCGTACTTGGCCGTCAAAGCAGCCCTGCGATTTTCAACGCCGTAGCTAGATAAATGGCTGCCAAGGAACCCTTTACAAATCGCCCAAATATTGCGATATTTTGAATTTTCCGTAACTCTGATTGGCTGCACGACCCTGACGCGCACGTGCTGCGTGCGTGATGAATCAAAAATGGCTGCGATGTCTAAGTACACAAGTGCGACCCCTGAAGTTGGAGAGAAAATTTCTAAGTCCAAGAAGTTCTAAGGAGTCAAATATAAGTAGTCAAATATATCGTGTATTTGACTAAGGCTGTGTTTACATGAGAAATTTCAACCCGGGTCGAGTTCAGCCCGGGTTGAAAGTCTGTACGACAAACAAAAGAGGTGAGCGTTTACATGAAGACAGTTGACCCGGGTCAAATACTGATATGCCGCCAAAAGTCCACTTCTACAGTCCTGTATGGTCACGTGAATCCGTTCGCGCGAATTTTTTTTTTTTTTTTTTTTTTTTTTTACACAGTACAGTACAATTTTATTGAAACAAAGAAAAATGATGGCACCTATGTACAGGGGATGGCCCACGCCTGGTATAAAGTAAACGTAAAAGAGAAAAAAAGTAGTACAGTGAAATCGATAACAGTACAGTAGATATTGGTTATAACGTGCACTTCTGATTTTTCACATTTTATCACTATAACCGGTATATCACTACAGGCGATTTTCAACTGCGCTCGTCATACATACACATTATACACGTGTGGGTACTCGATCGCGCTAATGTAGCATACTGATACATGATGCATGCTGCTGCACCTTCCCCAGTCTAGGGTGAAGAACTTCTTGGCCCAAAGGCATCATCCAGGAAGCATCAGACCAGAATACACTATAAAATTAAAAACACACATGTGGCTCCAAGTTGAGACATCAATGCCTCAAACTCCTGTGTTGCTATCACTATAGACGATAATTTTCCTGCACAAAGAGGTGTTTTGAATGGTGATTCTGTATCCTTATAGCCGATTTATCGCTATATACGATATATTGGTTATAATGATAATTTGACTGGATTTTTCTGGTTTTGCTTTTGATATTTTCATTTTGTATCAATATAGCCGGTTTATCACTATGTCCGATGACTTTATAACCGATATCCACTGTAGTTCAGTTCCCACACAATACCGCTCCTGAGCCGGATCAGACCACAATCCTAGCCTCGGCAACCGCCAGTGCGGCAGAAGCAGAGACAAGGCGGTGGCAGTGGATCGGTCGGCGGGCACCCCGAAGACAGGCAACACTTGCACGCAGGAGGGCGAAGCTCAGCCGGGCACGAATCCAGGCCATGACAGAGGAGTAGGCTTCACGAGTCTTCTCGGACAACATGGAGGCAATGCGCTTGTAAAGAGAAATAGCTGAATTGCCCATGCCACCATGTGCCGAGAAAACCACAGGGATGAAGCCTGCCCGCTCAACGTGCTGAACCCTTTCTCCGTAGGCCCGGCGCTTCTCACGTTCGTGTCGCTTGTAGCAGGATGCCGCAGATGATGAGCGATTTGATGGAGCGTGCGGGTTGAAGCGCGAAATTTGCATCTGCAGTGCTGTTCAAACCTGGCGCGAGATACGCACAGAAGTACGTTTGTACGATTTTCTTGACCCGGGTTGATTTCAACCCTCCCCTTGGGGGGAGGGTTGAAATCAACCCGGGGCGAAATTTCAACCCGGGTCAAGCGCAATGCGTCATGTAAACGCGCCATTCACTTTGTGCACATGGCGGTTTGAAATCTGACCCGGGTCGAACTCAACCCGGGTTGAAACGCTTCATGTAAACACAGCCTAAGCAGTCAAATACGCGATATATTTGACCGCTTAGGTATCAGGGAAATTAGTGGGGTCAAATACTAAGAAGGCGATAATGTATTGTACTACTCCCTCAAGGGCAGCACCAGGAAGTACAATGTACATGTAGTAGACCGAAAACCTCATTACAACTTGTAGGGACCGGCGGATTCTGCTCGGAAAGCAGTGGTATCGGCAGAACCATACAAACCTTATGGCGGGCAATTCCTCGAATTCTGCTCCATTTCTTTATCCACATACCAAACATGCATGAAACTTACCAGAAAAAGTACCGAATTCTGCCAATTTTTCTGCCGGCAGAATCCGCCGGACCCTAAATACAAGTACGGTACAGGTGCTTGGCATGCTGTACTGCTGATTTATATGCAGTCAATATTTGCGGCATACTCCAATAGTGGCCCGCGCTACTATAGCAGTGTCTGCTCCAGCGCCGGGTGAGCCGGGTAATCCACCCTGTTGGGCGGCGCTTGGACCCGGTTGAAAATATAGTACCGGGTCACCTGTGACCCGGTTGGTACTTTACACTTTCGAACTTTGAAAGGACTGACATGGCTTGCATGTGTCAGATACTTCTTCTTCTTTCGTAATTTTCTAATTCCTGTCCTCTCTTTTCTAAATGCGACTTATCCATTCGCCTTTATATCATTGGGCCTAGTTCCCGTTCATTGTCCGAATTAAAATAAACCAACCATCCAGTTAAAGCATGTGACTCGGCAGATGAGACAGCGCCAGGTACATGTGTACCCGGCTCCGACCCGGTTGAAATGGTTGCGCCAGGTACACGTGTACCCGGCTGTCCTACAATCCTAGAGCAGACACTGTATAGAGACTGTATAATAATATTTGTTGCATACTCCAATTGTGGCCCCCGCCACTATTAGAGACTGCGCTCTTATCATTTCAAACAACCCCCAGTGCCACCCGGGTCATTATTGGAGACTGGGCTATTATTGGAGACCTGGGCTTTTATTGGAGAAAATACGATACCATGGTTTGTTCTGCTGTTCGTGTTTAAAATAATGATACCGGAATAATTGATGCAGAAATAAAAAAAATTCACTTCAAATTCAAGCTCCACCTCCTGGCGAGGAGTGTCAAGGAGGGCAGTCTAGAAAGCAGGGAGTAGTACAATACAATATGTATTGTACTACTCCCTGCTAGAAAGTATGGAACGACGCCTGCATGTGTTTCTTGTTCAAGTGCGCCCACTCAGTGGTGGCGTGGCATTTTTTTTAATCATCACAGTGAAATATAAATCGTGCACCGGGAGTCGTAACATGTCGACTCCCCGGTCTGTGTGCAGCATGCGTGTGGGATGGTGCACTCAAGACAAGAAACACAGCAGCAGCAGCAGCAGAAAAGTGAGGACATTCCGCTCGCGGAGAAAGCGCCGTCCACCGCATCACTACAGGGAGTGCAGCAACAATTCGACAGCACACGTCGCCGCAACATGTGTGCGGCATTTGCTTAGGCCACACGTTTTTATTGCTATGCTTCTCGTCACCTGAAAATGTAAAAACGTATGCGAGAGGTGGAAAAAAATAATAAAATGACCGAAAAATAAAAAAAGTTTATTAAACCTTTGTTCACACTAGAATCTACCAATACACCATGCAAAATAGCATCCATAGTTAGCAACAAGTAAGTAGGTGGAATCCTGATAATTCGAATATGGCTTAATTCGAACATACCCCTTAATTAGAAGTTTTTCCAGGACCGATTTCTATCAATACGAGTCCCGCATAAAAAATTCTGATAATTTGAACCTCGAACTGGATATGCCCGGTTAATTCGAAGTCCCACAGATTCCACTTACATAGAAAATGTGTGGGATTTGTGCTGGTAATTCGAAGTTAGCAAAGTGTAATTCGAAGTTCACTGTACATTGTACTGGTCAGTTCAGTTTGCATGGGCAGTCTGCGCCGGTCAGTTCAGTATCTGCGAAATCTGTGTCTCAGGTCCATAGCGCAACTCTGCATGATCATGAGAGCATTTTGACATACATATTGTGTTGTGGGTTCATGTTTGGATAATTAGAATGTCCGGATAATTAGAAGTTTTTTCCTGGCATTTTGAGGTTCGAATTATCAGGATTCCACCTGTATGTGGTATGAGCTTCTGTCACAGTATCTGTGCTTGTGCAGCTAGATTGCGCACAAAAAATGCCGTCCTTGCATCATGTGTCGCGCAGGCCAGGCCACATTATGTACATGTGCATGAGTGTGCTGGTCCCCACATGCACAGTCAGTGCAGCACATTTTTTTTCTTTTTTTCTTCCAGACTCCTGAATCGTATGCGCGCGGGTGACGAGAAACATAGAAATGAAAACGTGTGGCCTTACAAAGAACGGTCCAAAAAGCTAGGAGCTAGTACCCATCAGAACCAGCGTGCAGGGCACCGCTAGGCCAGTGCAGCCAAGAGAACACTGGAATGGTGCGGAACTACTTGTGTATGTCAACAGACGGAATGCAAAGGACGCTGCAACTCAGGCCACCAGGACTCGGTATCTATTCTTCCAAGACCTCAGGCCAGGTAGGCGGTGGCATGGTGAAAGCGCTGCTCTGCGTCTCGGACGTGATCGAATCCCAGTTAGCGCCAGCGTCACCGCCTTTGCTGGGGGCGCTTTCGTCGTCGTCGTGCACGACGTCGAGAGATTCGCGAGTAGCGGCGGTGTTGGCATAGGCTGAGGAGCTGCGGTCTGGCCTGGTGTACCACGTTATGTCCAGGTCGGTGTCGCTTTCGCCAAACTCGCGCTCCGACTCGTTATAACCGGCGGCCACCTCTGGGAGGGGTGACTCGATCGGTGTCGCCATGGTGGTCCCCGAATCGCACTGGGCCTTCACGAGGTGCCGCTGACCTGCACCCGCCGTCTCAGTGTCATTCGTGTGGGCGACTGCTGATTGCTCGCTGATAACCGACATCGAACTCGGAGCCCCGGACACTGTGAAGAATTGCTTGGAGCTTAGCTGGCCCGACAAGAGCGGCTTGGCCAGTTGTCTTGGCGAGAATGACGATGATGACGCTGACGCACGGTGCTTCACTATCCGTCTGCAGTAGAGTGCGAGCATGGTGAGAAGCGCTCCGGACAGGAACGCTGCCACCACTACAGGTATGAACACAGCTGTAGTGATACCAGCAGCACCTGAGAGAGAGAGAGAGAGAGAGAGAGAGAGAGAGAGAGAGAGAGAGAGAGAGAGAGAGAGAGAGAGAGAGAGAGAGAGAGAGAGAGAGAGAGAGAGAGAGAGAGAGAGAGAGAGAGAGAGAGAGAGAGAGAGAGAGAGAGAGAGAGAGAGAGAGAGAGAGAGAGAGAGAGAGAGAGAGAGAGAGAGAGAGAGAGAGAGAGAGAGAGAGAGAGAGAGAGAGGGGGGGGGGAGGGAGGGAGGGAGGGAGGGAGGGAGGGAGAGAGAGAGAGAGAGAGAGAGAGAGAGAGAGAGAGAGAGAGAGAGAGAGAGAGAGAGAGAGAGAGAGAGAGAGAGGGAGAGAGAGCACATACACAGACAGACAAACAGGCAGACAGACACACACACACGCACACACACACACACACAGAAACAGGGACAGAGAATCAACAAAATGAGCTCCGCGTACTCCATGTGGGAGTGGAGGCCTGATCATCAGATGTTTTTGGGACGAGTACCTTAGTATTCTGCAGAAGAATAGGCCATGTAGACCGATCAAGAGCGAGAAAGACAAGTAAAAAAACTGAGGAACGTTCTACCAGTTTTAGCCCTTACCCGCGGGGCAAGCGGTGACAGTGGCAAACGTTGCTTGGTCGGCAGTGGCCGGGGCGGCAGTGGCATTGGTCGGGGCGGCAGTGGCATTGGTCGGGGCGGCAGTGGCATTGGTCGGGGCGGCAGTGGCATTGGTCGGGGCGGCAGTGGCATTGGTCGGGGCGGCAGTGGCATTGGTCGGGGCGGCAGTGGCATTGGTCGGGGCGGCAGTGGCATTGGTCGGGGCGGCAGTGGCATTGGTCGGGGCGGCAGTGGCATTGGTCGGGGCGGCAGTGGCATTGGTCGGGGCGGCAGTGGCATTGGTCGGGGCGGCAGTGGCATTGGTCGGGGCGGCAGTGGCATTGGTCGGGGCGGCAGTGGCATTGGTCGGGGCGGCAGCAATAGCAGTGGTAGTGGTGGCCTGATCAGAGGTGATGGTGGGGCTGCTGGTGACTCCATCATTGATGGCGAACAGTGCGTGACAGGTTGCATGCGATATGGTGCTAGTCGCTGCCAAACATTGGGCTAGGTCTGCAAGATTGGCAGAAAACAGAACAATTAATACATGTGTACATGAATGTATCACGTGATGTCACAAATGTGAATACAGACTTTGCAGTTAGCATCATGGCATGGTAACACAGTAACATTAACACTCTACAATCTACATTGATGTGCCGCTCCCCCCCCCCCCCCCTCCGCCCCTCACGTACCCTTCCACTCCCTCACGTTCTCTCACATCCTCTCCCGTCCCCTCATGTCCTCTGCCACCCCCTCCCCTGTCCTCTCCCACCCCTTCTCCGTCCTCTCCCACCCCTTCCCCCGTCCTCTCCCACCCCTTCCCCCATCCTCTCCAACTCCCACCCCCTCCCCCATCCTCTCCCACTCCCACCCTCCGCCCGTCCTCTCCCACCCCTCCCCCGTCCTATCCCACCCCTCATGTCCCCTGCCCTCCCCCCCCCCCCCACAGTAGAGATCATCTTACCAGAAATTATTTGAACGGTGAAGACAGTTTCTACTGTCCCTAGAGAATTAGCAGCGCTGCAGCGGTAGTCTCCGCCGTCGTCGGCTCTTGCCTCCATGATGAATATCACACGAGACCGGTCGAGCAGTTGAATTCGGGACGACGCCTGAACAGGCACGCTCGCGTTGCCACCCGTTTCGCTACTATGGGCCCAGGTGACGGCGGGCGTGGGCTCCACTGTCAGGTCGGCGTCGCAGCGGAGTACCAGCGGTGCGTGGACCACAGTCTCGACGGCACTCCGCTCCGGCGACAGCGGCGAGACTATCCTCGGCAAGCTCTGCACCGCGAGGAAGTACTGGTCAGCGTTGCAGGAGTACACGCCATGCTCAGCGGTCGATACATTGGTCAGAGTAAGCTCTCTGGTCGGCGTACTAGACACACGTGATCCATTCGCGTACCTATCATCAGAAGATGATACAGCACAATAAGGGGCAGATGGGAAACGCCGTACAGAACATTAATAAAGAAGATAGGGACTTTGGGGCGATACCGCATCACTAAAACGATGCAAACCGGAATTGGATCGTGACGGCAACCCAAGTTGCACTCTCTGGTCTTCATGGGACCAGTCACTGCCCGTATCTCAGATTTGCCCGTATCTCAGATTTGCCCGTATCTCAGATTTGCCCGTATCTCAGATTTGCCCGTATCTCAGATTTGCCCGTATCTCAGATTTGCCCGTATCTCAGATTTGCCCGTATCTCAGATTTGCCCGTATCTCAGATTTGCCCGTATCTCAGATTTGCCCGTATCTCAGATGTGCCCGTATCTCAGATTTGCCCGTATCTCAAGACAACTCATCTACCATGTACTGTATCATAACATCCTTTTTTGAAGAAATTTATTTGGCACTCATTGCACATGTTCAGGTTACAGGAAGAATCCATTGATAAAAAGGTGTGGATTTCACAGGTTGGCAGTGACAAATAAGCACTCGGGGGGGGGGGGGGGTTGAACTTTTTTCGTATGCACACTGTGCATACGAAAAAAAAGTTCAACCCCCCCCCCCCCTCCCCCCGTTCTTCGGCGCCTGACCGTACTGTACATATAGTATCATTGTAAGTGTAATCACCCGGGTCTTTTCGACAGCCTGACCAAGTGTCTGCACCCACCACCAAGAGTACGTAACACCCCGAGAGTGTGCAGCTGCCACATACCCTGCTGTTCCGACAGAATTTCAAGTTGACGTCATTATTTATGATGCAATGCTCCCTGCACCAATGATTTACAACATGTGTACGGGTGTACAGGTGTCAACGCATTACACCTTTTTTTTGCAATAATTTGTACAGGATCAGATGGGCTTTGGTCCACCACAGGTTCCGGATTCGTCTGGTAATCCGTGTACAGTGCGCATTGCATCATAAACATGACGTCATCTTGAAATTCTGCCGGGACAGCACACATAGACGAGTTGCACACTCTGGGGGGGGGGGGGGGGGGGGAGGGGGTATGGACTCCTACCGACATCAATTCTAATCAAGTACACCAGTACAAGGCGTGCGTTCTCACCATATATAGGGTGATACACCACTGCATGTAAGAGTAATGTTCGCTCCCTGCTGTACACGGTGAATCACTGTGTTTTTCGGATCACTGTCTGCTCAGGAAAAACGAAGAACACAGGCAGACGGAGAGACAGACAGACATTATGGATAGACAGACATACATTATGTATAGACAGACATACATTATGTATAGACAGACATGCATTATGTATAGACAGACACGGGGGCAGATGCAGATGCAGACTGACACAGAGAGGTAGGGGGCAGACGCACTGACGGAAAGGCGTACAGGAAGATGTACAAACATGGAGACAGATAGACAGACAGAAAGAAAGACAGAAAGACAGACAGACAGACAGACAGACAGAAAGACAGAAAGACAGAACAATGAATGCATGTTGTGTGCATGAACGTATCACGTGATGTCAGAAACGTGAATACAGACTTTGCAGTTAGCATCATGCCATGGCACCACAGTAACATTAACACTCTACAATCTACATTGATGTGCCGCTCCTCCCCCCCCCCCTCCACCCCTCATGTACCCTTCCACTCCCTCACATTCTCTCCCACCCCTCATGTCCCCTCCCCTCCCCCCCCCCATAGTAGAGATCATCTTACCAGAAATTATTTGAACGGTGAAGACAGTTTCTACGGTCCCTAGAGAATTAGCAGCGCTGCAGCGGTAGTCTCCGCCGTCGTCGGCTCTTGCCTCCATGATGAATATCACACGAGACCGGTCGAGCAGTTGAATTCGGGACGACGCCTGAACAGGCACGCTCGCGTTGCCACCCGTTTCGCTACTATGGGCCCAGGTGACGGCGGGCGTGGGCTCCACTGTCAGGTCGGCGTCGCAGCGGAGTACCAGCGGTGCGTGGACCACAGTCTTGACGGCACTCCGCTGCGGCGAGACTATCCTCGGCAAGCTCTGCACCGCGAGGAAGTACTGGTCGGCGTTGCAGGAGTACAAGCCATGCTCAGCGGTCGATACATTGGTCAGAGTAAGCTCTCTGGTCGGCGTACTAGACACACGTGATCCATTCGCGTACCTATCATCAGAAGATGATACAGCACAACAAGGGGCAGATGGGAAACGCCGTACAGAACATAAATAAAGAAGATAGGGACTTTGGGGCGATACCGCATCACTAAAACGATGCAAACCGGAATTTGATCGTGACGGCAACCCAAGTTGCACTCTCTGGTCTTCATGAAGGCTGGGCGGTAGTATCAGCCTCTGGTCTTCATGAAGGCCGGGTGGTAGTATGACGATTTTGAATGCCACACTTTGTTACCGGCATGGTGAACAAGGACGGGCAGAGAGCGCATGAGTTGATGGTGTGGAGTGCGGCTATGAAGGCTGTTCTTTTTCATTTACTGATTTAACTACACTCGGACGTCGCTTATCCGGGCACCTTGGGACCAGGCACTGCCCGTATCTCAGATTTGCCCGTATCTCAGGATAACTCATCTACCATGTATCAGTGTCTGCTCCAGCGCCGGGTGAGCCGGGTAATCCACCCGGTTGGGCGGAGCTTGGACCCGGTTGAAAATATAGTACCGGGTCACCTGTGACCCGGCTGGTAGAGGGGACGGTTTCAAATAGGACACCGGTTGCAAACCGGAACGGACTCAATATTCACTTTCTCTCTTGGTATTTTGATTAGAAAACATATGTCACAGTGAGACTACGATGTGTTATACTCCGAGCCAAAATGTCATGGCTCTGCGATGACCAGAAGCGCCATATCAAGCAGGTGAGTTTTTGACGTGTTGCTTCGCACTGCGACTTGAGTTTTACGACTTTCGAAAAATCAACTCCTTGTCGCAGGTAAACAGCGGCTCGCCTCTCGCCAATAAAGCACCGCATACCAATCAAAACTAATGGAAGCACACACAAGGCTTATTGTTACTCTGTACTGGCCGTCGTGGAGCGATAGCAATTACCTAATTTCAGACCCAGAGTGAATTTGACGTGCACTCTAAAACGTGTCCGGTTTGGAGCCACCTCTGATTTGAACTTTTTTGAAGCGAAAAATTGGGCAACTTGGAGGCAATGGGTCAACACAAACGAGTGGCTCAGTTCGATTGACTCTGGCCCCAGAGCAAACTTCAACATGCCAGTTTCCTTCCACAAACATATTTCGAGTGAAAAATCAACGCTGGTGATCGGTTTGGGTCTATACAAATTTGGCTGTCAAAACGTCCCGGTATCGAGCCGTCTCCTCTACTTTACACTTTCGAACTTTGAAAGGACTGACTACATGTCCATGGCTTGTATGTGTCAGATACAGTGTACTGTACAAGCAGAAATATTCGTCTGGAATTTAATTTCGTCTTTTTCGTCCAACGAGCTGTTGGACTAAATTAAATGCCGGACTAATATTGATTTGTCCAGCTTTTCAATACACTCTTATGATCCATGGACGAAATTTACAACCGGACGAACTCCCTTTCTTTGGAGTTGGACGAAATTATTGACCGACGAAATTTTCTGCTTATACAGTACATGTTCTTCTTCTTCTTCCGTAATTTTCTAATTTCTGTCCTCCCTTTTCTAAATGCGGCTTATCCATTCCCCCAGTTTTTCGGCGCCTGACCGTACTGTACATGTAGTATCATTGTAAGTGTAGTCACCCAGGTCTTTTCGACAGCCTGACCAAGTGTCTGCACCCAACACCAAGAGTACGTAACACCCCGAGAGTGTGCAGCTGCCACATACCCTGCTGTTCCCACAGAATTTCAAGTTGACGTCATTATTTATGATGCAATGCTCCCTGCACCAATGATTTACAACATGGACTCCTACCGACACCAATTCTAATCAAGTACATCAGTACAAGGCGTGCGTTCTCACCATATATAGGGTGATACACCACTGCATGTAAGAGTAATGTTTGCTCCCTGCTGTACACGGTGAATCACTGTGTTTTTCGGATCACTGTCTGCTCAGGAAAAACGAAGAACACAGGCAGACGAAGAGACAGACAGACAGACATTATGGATAGACAGACATACATCATAGTATGTATAGACAGACATACATTATGTATAGACAGACATACATTACACACTGTTGTGAATTCCAGCAGAAATCCAAGAGAGCTCGATACCGGGAAGGTAGAGCCGTGACACACTAGTCAGAACAACAGATGGCTTGACCAGTTACAACTTATCACCTGATGAGTGCCTGAGATGGCATGAAACTTTAAGTTGTGACTGATCACGCCATCTGTTGTTCTGACTAGTGTGACAGACATGCATTATGTATAGACAGACATACATTACGTATAGACAGACACGGGGGGCAGATACAGGAAGATGTACAAACATGGAAACAGATAGATAGACAGACAGACAGACAGACAGACAGACAGACAGACAGACAGACAGACAGACAGACAGACAGACAGAAAGACAGACTGGCAGTTGTACAGGCAGATGCACATACACACATGCACATACACACACACAGACAGATATCACAGTCACTGTGACATGAAGCTGTCGACGGACGTGAATGAACGTTGACTCGACATGAGAATGTGTACATCTGCAGTACGCTGATCTGTCATGCACACGACCGGCTGTGAGCTATTATGGCGTTGTCTAGCCTGCACACTTACCAACAAGGCTGAGCTGTGCGGGTTGACTGTACGCAAATCCCACTGAGCTCTTGGCCACACATCTGTAGACATCGGCATAGGCACTGCTAGCAAAGCGTAAGGCTAGAGTGCTACTGTTAACGCCGTCCGTCACGAAGTATTCCGTCTGCTGGTCCGCAGCGGTGGGCAGCATGCGGCCATCTCTCTGCCATTCGTACCACACTGGAGGGTAACCAGCGGCCCGGCACGACATGGCTGCCGGCTGGGCGAGGAACGTGAGCACGTCCTGTGGACTGGACACGATGTACGGTGTCACTGTTGAGCACGTGTGTGCGTGTGTGTGTGTGTGTGTGCGTGTGTGTGTGTGTGTGCGTGTGTGTGTGTGTGCGTGTGTGTGTGCATGTGTGTGCGTGTGTGGGTGGGTGAGAGAGAGTGTGTGTGTGTGTGTGTGTGAGAGAGAGAGAGTGTGTGTGTGTGTGTGTGTGTGTGTGTGTGTGTGTGTGTGTGTGTGTGTGTGTGTGTGTGTGTGTGTGTGTGTGTGTGTGTGTGTGTGTGTGAAAGAGAGAGCAAATTAGAGAGAGAATTAGAGAGAGAGAGAGAGAGAGAGAGAGAGAGAGAGAGAGAACGAGAGAGAACGAGAGAGAGAACGAGAGAGAGAAAGAGAGAGAAAGGGAGGGGGGGGAGAAGGAAAGAGATGGAGATAGAAAGAAAATCGAATCGAATGAAGGATAAACAAACAGAAAGGAGAAGTGCACAGAGGAATCAAACACATGCACACACACAATCCTCCCGCTTAAAACCTGCACACCAAGAGCGCGTAAATAGCTTGCAGCAATGCAGATCAGCCTGCATTGTATATGTTTGGTGATACGCATACAGCGCACATTGCATCATCAAGATGAGGTCGACTTGAAATTCTTACGACCTTTGCTGATGATATCTGTATGGTCGAACCTGCTGTCCGCAGGAACATTTTGTTTGCCAATAACCCTTATGCACATTGACGTCACAAACGAAATCCCGTAGAATCCTGCAGACCCTGTTGGGTGTTGAATGTGTAGGACCCTATTGTGTTATCTATATTTTCCACTACAAAACCTTCCCTTCTGGCAATTCATGCAAGAACAATTTTTGGACGATCTAGCTAGTCATTAGTTCCATCCAAACTGATGAAGCTGGAGAAGCGACTGTCTGCCAAGTCAGTATTGGGCTAAAATGGTCAAATGTGCATGTACAGCACACAATGAACACCCAACCGTGCAGCCGGTACACACCTACGCCAGGCTACGGGAATTCATACATCTCTACGAGATGATGCAATGTGCATAATGACTATACCTACAAGAATGTGGAGACGTGTTGCTGGTATGAACGAGGTCGGCCAGAGAGCGCAGGTGTGGAGTTTGAACAAATCTTAACGCAATTGTTTTGCTGGAACAACACCCATACTCTTAGGGCCTGGTCAGACTGCGGCAAATTTTGGTTGCCTGACGAAAAAAGAAAAGCATCCAGAATTAGACTCGCGATCACACTACACATGTGGGGAGAACGAAAATTCAAACTTCATTTCGAGCGTCAAGTGGTAATCTCCACGAACGATGTCAAATTCCTTCACCTTGGGGATTGCCAACACCTTCAGTGCAATCCTTGCAACCATCCTTATGAGTTTTGTTGTTGTCCGTGGCCAATTAGCTCCTCGATATCGAGATGAAAAAATAAGTGAATATCAGCGTCAATGGCGTATCAGCGTCAAACTTCTGTTGGAGCGGAAAAGCGTGGTCCGTTCTTGCTTTTTCTTTGGAGCGTCAACTCCCGCTTTTGCCGCTCTGGCGGCAAGTTACTATGGAGATTCGGATTATAATCCTAGGATTATTTCGATTTTGCCGCAGTCTGACCAGGCCCTTACTGTCTTAGGGCTATGTACATGTGAGGAGCTCCATTGCAAAACCCTGGTTATCCATTTCATCACTTTTCGTCTAATGGCCGAATGCAATTAACTTTATGCGTGATTCGTATCTGAACCAAAATTTGGCCGACAGTTTTGAAGTGGTTGTAGTCCGATTTTGGATGTGAAATTCTGCCTGAAGGTGCCCCATGACCTTTTGACCATACTGATCCCAAATTTTCCAAATTTTCACATCTTCAAATTTGGCGCGTACAGCGTTTTGCAATCAAACTCCTTGTACTCTTGACTTGTCCCGGAAAGAAGAGCAGCATAGCAGCCCTCAGCTCACAATGCACACCGCTTACCTTGCAGTTCCGCAAAGTCGGATAGACTGGTGCGCATGTGTACTGAGTTCTGCGTCATGCCGCTAGCAATGCAGCGGTACAGACCTCCGTGACGCTCTGTCACGTTCCGCAGGGTCAGCGTGCTGCCGCGGCTGTGCACACCGCCCGTAACGACGGACACGTCCGCACGAGCAGCGTCCACGCGAGCGACCCGCGAGCCCCTGGAGAACTCCCACGCGTAGCTGACTGGGGATGCGCCGTTGGGTGCGTAGCAGGTGAAGGTGACGGTGCCGCCCGCGTGAGAGGTGACGTTTTGCGGCTGCTCCGTCAAGTGCACTGCACACGGGGGGGGGGGGGGGGGGAGGGAGGGAGAGGGGAGGGGAGGGGGGGGGGAACAAGGGAAGACCACGGCAGTGTACAAACCATTCAATCAAATCACGGCACACAGCGGGGAAAACAAGGACCCTGAAGCCTTTGTCGTAGCCGAAAAACAGACATGAACGGAACCTTTTCACTCACAGATGCGTAGCGCTCAATTCTGAGTACTATGCGAGCTCTATGGCCGAATATCACACATATAAACATATGGACTCGGATGGAGAGCCAAGGATTAATTTATAGAAGAAAAAAGGACCAAGGAACTACAAGTTACGCCATAATGTCCACTAACACCACCAGCTACTAAAAAAAAGTCGTGCTATGTTATTGCATTAGCTGATTGTTTAGTAACTGGTGGTGTTAGTGGACATTATAGCATAACTTATAGTTCCTTGGTCCTTTTTTCTTCTTCTTCTATAAAATTAATATTCGTAGGTATAAAATTAATATTAAGTAAAAAGTAATGTAAAAATGGATGAAAAAATATCGTTCCGCAAATTTTCCAGGAAGGTTGTAAGTAAGTTGGTCGCGCCTCATCTCAAACGCTTTGGCTTTCTCCACAGGACAAGAGCTGCTATGCTTGTCATCTGCTAGCTCTGGGTGATTTCTACTTCACCACCAACGCAGTAAGAACACGCGATCGTTGCGAGGTCGGTTGATTACCGTCGGCGGAATCACCTCGATCTTGAAATGAACTTTTTTTTTAAGCCGTGGGATGCCCATTCATTTTAGCTGTGTGGTCACTGCTCATGCAGGTGTACTATCACGTCGAGCGTGCACTCTTTTTCAGCATCACTGGTACAGTAGCTGCACGTGCATCGCTACAAAAACACTCCAGACTTCAGTGTAGGTCTACATGCAGATTCTACACGTACACAGGCCTTGTTGCAGGTACTAGTAGTACTGAGTGTCTCAGCTGGTGACTATATACCCCGTTCTATATCAAACGTGAAACTGCGACAATTTTGATGATGCGGAGGAAGTATAATCCTTGGTTCTACATCCGAGTTTCATGGAGATTACAAAAATTGCGGGGACTTTGCAACAACAGTGCGTGGGCCCATCTACCGGCTTGATTGCCAGAAACCTGTCTATTTCTCATAAAGAAGAGTATTGAGAGGTGGAAAAATGAATTTTACGTTCATGTGTGCATGTTAGTGTGTGTGTGTGGCGCGGTGTGGTGTGATGTGTGTGTGTGCGTGTGCGTGTGTCTGTGTGTATTCACGTGTGTGTGTATTCATGTGTGCGTGTATTCATGAATGTGTATGTATGTATGTATGTATGTGTATTCATGTGTGTGTGTGTGTGTGTGTGTGTGTGTGTGTGTGTGTGTGTGTGTGTGTGTGTGTGTGTGTGTGTGTGTGTGTGTGTGTGTGTGTGTGTGTGTGTGTGTATGTGTGTGTGTGTGTGTGTGTGTGTGTGTGTGTGTGTGTGTGTATGTGTGTGTGTGTGTGTGTATGTGTGTGTGTGTGTATGTGTGTATTGGTGTGCAGTGTATGTGTATGTGTGCGCATGTGTGTGTGTGTGTAGGTGCGTGAGTGTGTATAATTATGCACATGCAGCAACAGCAAAAGAAACTTCAGCAGCAGCGCCAACCTGTTTCATTAAGATCATAACGAGGACACTGCCAATCCCTCTCGTTATGGAGAACGCTGCGACCACTGTCAGAACACGCACATTGAAACAGGAAAATTGTACAGGAAATTTGGGTGGCGAAGAACGACGGGGGGGGGGGGGGAGGGGAAGGAGGGAGGGGGGGGGGAGAGGTAGTCTACTTCAGACCAGCAGTGTTTCTTATAATTATGGCGACGTCATCAATCTGATTCTGGGCTCGTGCATGCGCACGTGGCCACCATGCATGCGGTGCTAAAACAGAAAAAGGTTCCCGGCTGTCCCGCTGGCAACGCTGCTTACAAGAAGGAGAAGAGGATGAGTGATTCGTTGCAACTCAGAGCTCCACACACTAAAGATCGCCTGGAATTGTAGTGCGTGGAACTCCGAGTTTCAATGAGTTCTTCATCCTCTTCACCTTGTTGCACACAGTGTTTCCGGAAGCACATGAAAATCACACGCACGGTCATAAATCTTCGGTTTCAGCCGGGCACTTTCTTAGATGTCAGTGACTTTCTACGACTTTCTAAACTGGGTGTTTGCCACCAGCAAAGCAGCCACTCTTACTAGTCCACAGTGTATGTCGGAATAATTGGGCGGTCGGGGGTCGGGGGGGGGGGGATATCTGGGGCCAGATTTGGTTCTGCCATTACCATTGTGTGTGTGTGTGTGTGCGTGCGTGTGTGTGTGTGAGTGTGTGTGTGTGTGTGTGCGTGCGTGCGTGCGTGTGTGTGTGTGCGTGCGTGCGTGTGTGTGTGTGCCGGGAAGGGGAGGAGGGCAGGGAGTGGGAGGGGAGTAGGAGGGGAGGGGAGAAGGGGGGGGGGAAGTGAGAGGGGAGGGGGAGAAGGGGGGTGGGGAAGGGGGGTAATAGTGTCCAGTGGCGGGTTTGGGGGGGGGGGGCGGGGGCGCGCGCCCCCCCCCCCCCCCCTCAAAAATTTCGACCAAGGTTTCGAAAAATAATAGGCAGGGCGCCGGGTCGAGCTAGACTATAACCAGGGAGTAGTACAATACCGGTATTGTACTACTCCCTGACTATAACCAAGAGTACATAACCCCTATCAAGAGTACATAACCCGGGGTTATGTACTCTTGCTATAACCAAGAGTACATAACCCCCAAGAGTGTGCAACTCCAGCTATGGGGTCTGCGACGGCAAAACTTCACATCACGTGATGAACCCGTACACATTTGCACTCTGTGCATGATAGATACAGGGTTGTACGCAGCCCAGCTTTGGGTACAACTCTCTTGTGGTCACTT